CATACAGCTACAAGATACATAATGTATATAGACAAATACATGTACGCATGGATGCACAAACGATTGGAGTTCAAATACCACTCTTAGCAAAAAATTTGTAGAATGTGCCTCTATCGAAGTCTTCAGTATATACAAGTGTGCATAGCTCCAGAAATTTCTCACTCAAAACTAAATATTATTTATAGCTTACTGTGTACTTGATGCTATTTCCATAGCAACATCTTCATGTCCTCGTTCAATGGAAATATCAAGACAATTTTTTTGGTCTTTGTTTTCCTTGATATCTGCGCCGAGAAATAGTAACAGCTTGACAACTCTTGAATGACCATTATGTGCAGCATGGTGTAGCAGAGTGTTCTAGTAGAAATAAACATACATTCGTATAAATGCTGAAAAGTGGGACATGTCAGGGAAGGTTATCTATTCTAGTCAAGTAACCAACCTTATTTTTAGTATCTCTTCGATTGAGGAAGGATAGCCTTTTTTTAAGTAGTAACTTAAGTGTCTCTATTGATCCATTCCTAGCTGCCACATGGACTGGGTAACACCCATCAACATCACTGTTAAAACAACCAGTTGTATCATTTAGTGTACAGTGTTACTAAAATATGACAACATCACACTATTAAAAACAAAAGTACAACTGAAAATATATAAGAGGGCACTATTTAGGCACTATACACCTTCTGGCGCTTTTTTATATTTTCATGCTGACAATCAATAAATGTTTGTATTACAAAAATATCAGCTAAAAAAAACAAGAAATATAATACCAACAAAATTACACCACATATCATACAATAAAACGTAAGTGAATTTACAGGATGTTTAAACTAAATAAGTACCTTATGAAACGAGCATTTTTTTCAAATAAAAAAGAAACCACTTCTGTATGGTTATGATAAGCCGCTAAGTGAAGGGCCGTTCTGTTCTTTAGGTCAGTACAATTGATAAGTTCTCCAGTTTTATCATAATCTAGAAGTTGTTTGACCACATTTGCATATCCACTTCTGAAAACAAGAAATTATGAAATACACATCATAGCATGCTTTTCAAAAAGCTGTGTATAGAAATTGTTAAAAAATTTCAACCAGAAAACACTAACGTACATATCCAAATTTTTCATTGGCTCTATTACCCATGAGCCTTCTGCATCTTTCCCTCAAATATGGCTGACTTGCATAAAAATGCCTGTCATCAAGTAAATTCAAAACAAAATTGTTGTAATGAATCATCATCACTCCAGAATTCTGTTTTGGTGTTATTGATCCACTAAGGCATTGTAATTAGTCAAGTTCTTTTCAATAATCATTTGAAATTTATGAAGTTTTCATGTTTATTTTATATAAAAAAAAGACATTTACAGCTTTCTAAAAAGAAGTATACATTTATTATATGATCACAATTGGTATCATTGCTAAATGATGTTTGTTTCATAATGTCCGAAAATAAAAAAATCGATAGTTTCATTTATTATATTCACAAAGTTTCCTAGAATAAATAAATAAATATTTTAATCTCACCGTGCAGCGATATGTAGTGTTGTTTCTCCCCTTTTATTCCTCATATCTGGTTTGAATTTTCTCATCAAGAGCAAAGAAGCACTCTACATATATTTCAAATATGAGAACATTATTAGTAAATTTATAACAGATAAACAGATAACATTTATTTATGTGTTCATCAAACAAAATATACACATATGATTTTGTGTTCAATTTGTCAATGATAGATTTAAGTTCACATAAATAAATTGAAGTTAATTAAATATGAGAATTTAAGAAGTGGCTGCTAGAAAAAGCTTTCTCATTAATTGATTTTTGAGGTTTGAAACTTTTGACAAGATATTCTTTTAAAAGTATTTGTCCATTTTTCAAATCAAATTGAAGCTACATTGTGGAAAATGCAATCACTGTTACCTTGATACAATATTTTATTTAAACTCATTCAAACAGCAAAAATTTTTCTATTTTAATTATTATTGTCGAGAGAAATGAGACATACCTGTGGGTGTCTTTGTACAGCATGATGTAATGCCGTCCATCCATGATTATCAGATACATCAATCATACAAAGAGACTCCTCTTGCTAATAATAAATAATATGTAT